CACACACACACTCACACACACACACACACACACACACACACACACATATAATTATATATATATATATATATATATATATATATATATATATATATATTTGTATATATATATTATATATATATATTATATATATGTGTGTGTGTATTGTGTTGTTGTTGTATGTGTGTGTTTGTGTGTGTGTGTGTGTGTTGTGTGTGTGTGTGTGTGTGTGTGTGTGTGTGTGTGTGTGTGTGTGTGTGTGTGGTGTGACATATTCATACATATAATGTAGAGAAAGAGAGAGACAATTGTACATAAATCTTCACGTCGCATAGTAAGATTCAGTCGTAAAATTCTCTCGTATTTTGATAGCGGAGTCGATGCCCAAGCCAAGCCCGAATATCGGAACGCAGACGGCAGGGGCGGGAAACTAGGATCAGCTGTTCTTCAAAACAAAGTATTTCGAGACGGTCACAATGATGTGAAGAGGATTTTTATGTGATTCCATTTCGATTAATTCATTTCATTTTCACTTTTGGTTTGATTCCATCGACTCAGAAGTGACTGCCAGTTATTTTTGTTTTAGCTTCAGACATATATGCTGCCATATACAAGGTATGATACAGTAGACAATGTATAGATTTGTAGTATGAATAGCCCATTTTTCCTACTGCGCTAATAGGTTATGTGATAAAAGAGATAGAATTAAGGTTGAAGGTATGATTTCGGTTTTACACAGCAATTTTGTTTAAGTTAAACTCTGCTTATAATGGTCAGGACAAAAGTGGCTAATTGTCAAGTTTTATCTAGGGCATTTCCTTCGCAAAATTGGAATAGAAAGTTGTAGAACCCAAGAAATAGTTTGGTGTACTTATATAATAACCACACTATAATAAAGAGAGGGGAAAATACACATGAAATATTCTGCACAGACAAAGAATAATGTCAGAAACGAAGAAAATAGATTGTGACAAATGCCACACATACAGTAATCCACAATGAACAGCAGGGATATTCAGCAGTCAGTTCAGGTTTAGGGTCAAAGCCCTGGGTTGGAATTTTTGTTCAATACAATAATGTTTATGGATTACTAAGAGTGTTCCAATGTGGTTGGCTGGAGAACTTTGTAAACAGTTCCCAGTACTTTCACTTATTTCCTGAACATCACTTGTGACAGAAAAAACAGATTCATGTATTATTACACCATGAAGAATTGGGATATGAAATAATAATTGCAAGGTTGGGTGGCTTTGTGAAACAAAAGAATTACCAAAATTAATACTGAAGCTATAAAGTATCCCTGTGAAATTACAGGATTAGATTAAACTGATGAATTATAATGTATTGATAGCTCATGAATTCCTTGATAATTGGAGGCAATAAACCAAGCAAGATAAATCCTTTATTTTGATTTCAGTTTGTAAGAATGGGACCTCCAGTTCACACATTGTCTTCTTCAGATGATTCTGATGACAGGTAAGTCCTCATGTCTGTAAACTTTACAAAGCACCCATTTGTTCACCACTACCTCATGCAGTCAGCTTGGCCTGTCCACACTTTGGCAATGGCCAACAGTCCTCCACCATATCTATTCTGGTAAGACAGAGCTTGAAGTCCTCCCCAGTGAAACTAGTCAAAGCTCAGTCTTATGGGAATATACATGGAGCAGGTTAGTTACCCTTTGTCAGGGAGCTGAAGAAGTGAAGACAGCAGCAATTGCTTGTTGCTTTGCCAGTATTGAGTTGGGCTTAAAGTTATAGGCTTTCCATCATAGATCACAGCGAGTTTAAAGTGAAACATAGCTATGATGATCATGAGGAAATTCCAATTTGGAAAGCTTCTGTGAGTTTCTCTGAAATATTTACACTTATGTTGTGTGTTTTTCACAAAGTAACATGTAATTATGAAATATATGGAATATAGTTAATATTTTAAGATAGAATGATGTATTTGATCACTACTTTTGATTCTGTTTCCAGCTTGCCAGACTTGGAAACATTTCCTCAAAGGAAGAAACCATTTCATAAACACATGAAGGCTCAAACGCTTAGCTCAGATGATGAAGATAATAAGGAGAATGAAGTAAGGGTCGATGATGAGGACAATGTTACCAAAAAGCAACAGAAAGCTTATACAGATGATTCAGATGAAGAAGAGCTTTACAAGAGGAATGAATTGATTATTGATGATGATGCTATTGTTATTGTAGAAGAAAACACGCAGCAAAATTCAAAGAAAAATGAGTTTAAGTGTAAGTCTCTTTTTGTCCTAAAATACACATTTCCTACATAGAATACATTGTAAAACATTAGTAAATGTTCAGAAAAATATTGTGCAAGGAGAGATAAAACTAGGGTAATGACCATAAAGGATATATGAGGCATTACTAGTAAATATAAAGAATAATATGCAGAGGGTAAACAAAAGGCCAAAATTACTAATCAAAGTTCACCAATCATTGCCTGTGCTGCAGTAAAGCAGCCAAATGTCTACAGTATACATTCTTGCAAGATAGAGCTTGTTGATCTTTCTATCAATTTAAGATTAAATAAGGAGGCTGTACAAGCTAAATCTTGACTTTATTTAGTTTTTAGTTTGTTTTGTTATACCCCTAGAACACTGAAAAGAAAATTACCTCTTTCCCCCCTCCCCCTTTTCCTCTTGAGTAATGTTGATTTGATATTAACTTCTTTCAGTTTCAATGGATCCTTTAGATGCATTTAATGAAGATCTACCAGACATCCATGACTTTACACTCATTTCTTCTGAGGCTAAACAGTTTAGTGAAGAAGAAGAGGAGAAAGAAAAGGTAGATGATTGCTCTTATCTGTTTGATTTTTATGTAACTATGTAGTGTGCTGGGAATACACTTGTTTGTTTATTTATAAGTAGTATGATACTTACATTTTTCTTAATTATAATATTACAGAATTATGCACCTGATGTTCCTTCTTACTGTGCAGTCATGAGACCTAATGATTAATCTTTATAAGAGTGAATTAATTTTTTTAAACCATTTTTTTAAAGCATGTTTAAGTTTAGTAGCATATTTACTGCAGGAAACACAACCACTGAAGCCACTAACAAAAAAATCAAGGAAAGAGGAAGTACAAATGGAGAAAGAAGCTAAACGTAGAGAAAGGGAGGCAATGAGACTTAAAAAGGCTGCTGAGAAAGCTGAAGCAAAAGCGCAAAGAGAGGCAGAGCGAACATCCAAGCGTGCTATGAAACCTGGGGAGTGTATGAAAGTTAGTAATATCAGATCTCTGTATACAGATTTATATTTTTTGGGTCAATATATATTACAGAAAATATAAATTGAAATAGCTATTTCAAAAAGGAAAACACACACACCACACACAAATGTAAATCTGTTATTTATCAATGGTAATTTCCCTATCTCATGACATCTTTGTGCAGTATGTCATAGTGCAGTTGGATCGTCGCCTCTTGGAGCTTGCAGAAGGAAGCCAAGTAATTAGCCAGCTTCAAGAAGCAGATTTACGCTATAGGGTCATTGATTCTCCAGTGGCTGCTACTACTACAATACTCCGAGTTGATCCCCTCACGTTACAGGTATGCATAAAGAATATAACTTGTCTACTTTCTCTGACTAATTGCTTATGAGCTGAAGTAGTAACTTGTGTCTTTGAGGTCTCCTTTTCACACACTCTTGATATTAACACCTTTCTTATCATCCAAATTATGAAAATAATCCTCACATCCACTGTAGAGAAGCCTTGTGTTTTTGGAATAAATTTAATTTTGGACAACCAATGATAGATCTGTGAATTCAGTTCACTCTGAGAGTTGCTTTATAGAAGAGAATGCAATTAGCCAAAGATTAAGATTTTAGAAAATAGATGTGTATTTCATCTCATGCTTAGAATGTTCATCATACATACTAAGCTGTCCTGTCATGTTAGAAAAAAAAATAAAAAAATTACTCTGATATTTATAACATTGTAGGCCAAACTGTTTACAAATTCACTATAATTATTAAGTAATAATTCTGAGGATATTGTAAGATTTTTTTTTTCTTCTTCTTTTCAGTCTTATAACTAGAAATAATATTTTACTGTTCTAAAATTTTTAAAGGAAACTCTAACAGAGGAAGCAGTATTACTACTTACTGCAAATGAACTTGTTGAACTTGTAGAGCGGCAGGTTTATGAAAATGGTATTGGTGGTTTGTGCCAGAAATGCAAGTCATGGAAAAGAGAACTCGGTATCTCAAAACTAACTCTTCTTACCTGTGGGATTGAGAGCTATCTAAGGTTTGTTTTTTATTTTATTGTCCATTTTGTGAAATTATGGAAATGATATTTATTTTAATTAACAAAGCTAGTAAATTTGTATGTTAGAAGAATACTTATCTATAAATTCAAATTTTTAGGAATCAAAAGACAAACAGAAACCAGAATTTCCGAGCGGATATCTTAGGAGAAGGCAGCAGACCTGGACGTGGTAGGAAGAGGAAAGTCCCTGGTGGCAACACTGGTAGAGCTGCAGCAGAGCGGGTTAGTAGGTGAGTATTTCTACAAATGTAAAATTGTTTTACATCAGATTAAGTGGTGTAGATGAATATCAGTGGAAGATTGCAGGGTCGAGTTCTTGACAGTACAAGTGACATAAGGTATTATATGGTCTTCATTTTTTAAATTATTATTATGATTATTTTTACTAGTATTACTTCTAGTATTATATCATAACTATTTTATTTTTATGCAATTCTTATCCTTTGGGGAGCTAAAAAGGCTAAGAGAAAAATTTTAGATTTCAAAGTGGTATAGATATCTTTACCTTTGGAATCTGATTTTTTTTTTTTTACATATAGCTTTAGTAAATACCTGCTTGTTAGCCATATCATCTTATTATATATCTTTATTGATGGATGTTAATTTTTTCTGTTTCTCTTATTAATCAATCTTCATAACATGATCTATGTTTAGTTTTACTTTTTTCTTTTTTCAGAGTTGACATAGAGACAGCACTTGTGATGGCACAGGTTGAGGGTGGCATAAATCATCGTTTAATGCCTGATGCCAATAAAGTTGGCCTCTTCATCACCCAGGTCACAAAAGCTGTTGCTGAAACACCTTTCAAGTATGTCATAACTTAGGATACTAAAAGTTGATATAATTATTTTTGACAGTAGAGCACAGAAAGTTGTAAAAATCTGTTCATATTGAGTTATATGCCACATAACATCCATTCAGGCAACTTCCCACTATATATACAATGCAGCAAAACCAGTGCTGCTTAGTTAGTACTGGTACAATACAAGTATCCTGTGATTTCATGATAAAGTGTTTGCAACATCCCATTTGCATAACACCCTGATTTCCAGAGCATACAGTGGACTTTAAGTAGTGCATGGCTGTATTGCTGAATGTACCTATTACACAAGCCTAGCAATGTTTAGGAAGATACCATGTGCTCTAGATAAAAAGTCAGATTGTTGCAAAACTTCCTCTTTTTCTTTCATAAGGCGAGAAAAAGGAGGAGCCTCATTTTCCTGGTATGCAGAAGGCAGCAGTACTAACACAGTCAAAATAGACAAATCTGGAGTTGGACTCTTAAAGCTGTGGCATCAACAACTGCGTCAGTTTAATAATGTAGGAGTAGAAGTTGCACAGGCAATAGCCAGAGAATATTCATCACCCTGTGCTTTAGTGGAGGTTGGTATAAAATATTTGCATAATTATTTTTGAGGTTTTTGGTATTTCTTTGAAATGTTTTTTAGAATAGTCAAATTATCAGGGAGAGTTTTCAAGAGGTACCTTGTAATCATACAACATTATAGAAATATTGGTGGTGGTAGTGGTAGTTGTGCACCATTTATTCTTTTGTCTCACTTAAGTTATGATAACTGTAATGATGAAGGAATTCACAAAGGGGTATTGGTAAAGGACTGTTATTATTAATGATTCCAAAAATATTACTATCAACTTTGTTTTTCAGGCATATAGACAATGTAGTTCAACCAAGGAAGCTTCCCTGTTGCTTGCAGACATTCCAGTAAGAAGAGGTGCTGGGCCACTTGTCTCAACAAGAAAAATTGGACCAGAGCTTTCAAAGAAGATCCACTTGTTTTTTACTACAACACAACCTGAAGTCAGCTTAGGACAGAAAACTTAATTTGAAAAGGATTGCAGATGTAATTACTTTGTTTTTTATATTAAAATATGTTTTTATGTAATTAAAGTAATGTGGTTCTTTCCTCCCAGAAATATGAAAGAAAAGGATACGTAAATAAAATGCGCAATGACATGGCTACATCTAATATATGCTGCCTTACTTTTTTATTACTCTTTTCAACCCCTTTAAGCAATCCAAAGTTTCCAAGGTAGGAACCCTGTGACCTATAAGAATGGTATAACCAGGAGTGGTATAACAATAGCTTCTGGTGCATCTATAATTTGTGATGAGTTTGAAAACTTTTTATAATGTTATTGACAATATTACAAAAGATGAAGTGAATATAGAGAGCACTGGATAAGGCAGTGTTTTTAAATAATAAGAATAATTACAATTAAACATTAAACAAACAAAATTCACTTGCATATGCTTCAGTATTCAGTTCAAAGACTGAAACAAAATATTGAATGTATTGGCAAGAATTTCTCATTTAATAAGTATTGGATTATAGGTTCACTTACATAAAACAGTTGCATAGATTTGTAATACGTCTTGAGAAAATAGTGTCTAATAATATTTCCAAGGTCAAAAATATTTATAATTAACACCATCATTAATTATATTTAATATCACCTGCATAATCATATTCTTTTCTCACAGTAAGTGTCATAGTTGTAAATAGTGTCTCATCATTATCTTCAGTATCACTGCCCCTATCACCATTATTGTCTTTCAATTTCTTTTACAAAAAAAAATATATAGGCAGGATCGCAAACTGATTGATGCCTTAGTTACTATATTTGCAAGAAAGAATAGCCAGGATGCAATATTGATGTTTTAGTATTTCAAGAGATTCCTTTCTTGACCATCAGCATGACTTGACCTAAGAGTCAAATAAGGTGATTTCTCACAGGCCTGTAAAACATCAGCCAATATGTTAATAAAAAAATAACTATTTTTTATTATTTCTTGTTATTTTCCTCCTTTTATCATGACAAGGAAGATAATGAATGATTAGATCCCAGATTTTTCATTATGAATCAGAAAAGGTCACTACTCATATGAAAAACTCAATCAAAACATGAAACTGGAAAGTCTGCAGCCAAGCTCACTTATGAAAATTTACTTTTTGTACACCATGTTACTAGTTTACTTATTTATTTGTCCCTCCCAATACCTCGCTCGTTGTCGTCGTGGGGGGGTCTTATGCTGCGTTCAGAACTGCTCGTCTTATGCTTTGACCCTTTGGAACCTCCACTATCTCGTCCCAGACAAGTAGTCTTAACTCGTCCATCCAGGGGTGGTGCTAGAAAACTTTTTTGGGGGGTGTCGGGAGCAAAGTTACCGGGTAACATTTTAAAAATTAAATCCACACTTCATACTTTTTAATATCTTGTTTTGAAAAGGACCAAATTGAAATGAAAATGATAACTTCGAGTCATAATGATCATTAATTTCTTAAATTATGCCGACCACCACGATTGCCGAGTAAATTGTATTTTTTTTCCATTCTGCCTGGTGAAATGACGATTTGTGACTTTTGGGGGTCGCACCCCCCCCCCACACACACACACACACTCGTGGCATAGCGCCTGCGTTCATCTCGCCCTTCTGCGAACCTGGGCGAGCAATGGATTTTGTATGTACACATTGACAGTTGCAGGTAACTACATGATTTTGATGGGTAACTTTATGACCTTTTATTGGTGTTATCAAAGGATATTTTTGTGTTTAACAGTTGCTGGTAAGTTAAATATGCATCATAAGAGTTACAAAACCTATGCAGCATGTAAAATAAAGACAGCGGTATGATAAAAAAGTGAATATTTACATTAGAGCCGGTTGCATTTGGGCTTGAAGGTTCCGAACGCGGCCCACTTGTCCTGCTGGTCCTGGACAAGGTGTCTGAACGAGGAAGACGAAAAGTTCCGAACGCAGCAGTAGGAGACGAGGACTGAAACCCAATGTTAGGGATTACCCTAACTTGGGCCTCAACTAATTTTGCTTGATCCTTTCTTCTCTTCTTTCCTCTTCCGTATCTCCTTTATTCCCTTCTATCCCATTCCTAAGGTGTGGGAACCGTGCTAATAGAATGAAAGGCTGACTTTGTGTCAGTCACGAACGGCCTCCGGGAGCCATGGGCACGGTATTCCCTTGGTTAATTGCCTAGCCTTTAATCCTTACGGGGACCCTGAGGGGGGAGACCGTTCCTTTTCCCCAGTTTAGTCAGGCTCACCATGGCCAATAAAGAAGATTCTTCATCCTTAATGGGGGCATTCATCTACTAGCTTATCTGAATTTGATTTTGGTTTTCAGACCCCTGACCCTCTGACCACGGCTCCGACCACTGATACAATACCCCCTCTTCGACGCTTACGAACAACTCTAATCATTTCAAAACACTCACCCAGGTTATTGTTCAACCTCTAGAAAGTACCCCTTCCTCTTCCCCAACATTCTCCTCTTCATCTCCTGCTTCACAGTCCTTTTCAATGTCTACTTCCTCCTCCCTTATTACTACTCTTCATCCTTATTGCCCCCCTCCCCACCCCCGCAGAACTACTCCACTTCACACCACATCTCTTCGCCTTCGTCTTTCTACTGCCACTACCTCTGCCTCAGCTCTCTTTGGCCCAGCCAAGTGGGATCGATTCTTTGTGATTCTCCCGCAGCCCCCTATCCTGAGAACATCCTTCTCTTTCAGCAGTGCCTCCAGAAACAAGTAGGCAAGGTTACCTTTCACAGTTGCTCTGATCGCTCACGCCTTATTATGGTTATATCTGAATCCCAAGCTCATACACTATCTACCCTAACTTACCTTACTGGCAAACCCATTCCTGCCGAACCTCACCCACTCTTAATGCTAGTACTGGAACTGTTTCTATTCCCCCAAATGCTTGTCCCATGTATGATAAAGACTGGTCATACTGAAAATGACCTACTTTCCTGCCTTGCTGAATATGATGCAGTGGCAGTACAGTGTTACACTCTTCCTCCCAGAGGCCAGCTTAAATCCCACGTCAGTAATGCCAAGATTAGCTTCCATTGACGAGACCACCCCCATGCCATTCTTCCTGATACTTCACCGACTTCCCCAGTACCCCTTTCTCATCCCCTGGATTCTTCTCCTCCTAGTTCTCCAACAGCCACCTCTGTTTTCCTTGAACAATGTCCCTATTCCTTCCCCAGTCATAGATACACTGCAGTTCACTCAGTAACTCTATCCCCGTATATTCCCCCTCCCCCTTCCCAAAATACCTCATCCTCTCAACCATCCAAACCAATACCTCATCCTCTCAACCATCCAAACCAAAACCTACCCCAAAACCCCAATCTTTTCCGCATACCTCATCCTCTCAACCACCCAAACCAAACCCCCTTGAACATTTTTCATATACCTTCCCCAGTGACAGTTACACTATAATTCACTCAGTCGCCCTACCTCCTTAACCCTCCCCTTTATACTAATTCCTGCTGTAGTTCACTTGCTCCCCCATTTCCCTTGTCACTACCATGCTATCCTATAACGCTCTTAAACCTTGAACACCTAACACATTTTATCGTATTCTTTAACTTTCCTTTGCCCTTTCCAATGCAATATTTTACCAGTCTAACACATTTATTTTCAAACATTAAACTTATTTATTTGTTTGTGATTGAGTTTTCAATAAGATTACATTACATAATTTACTGGCAAATACTGGTGAAAACTTATGTGTAGGCTGCCAATAACTAGTGGCCATTTGAATAGAATTTGATATTGAAGTACCTCGGCTTTCTGAGTGCAATTTTCTGCAATTCATGCCAAGAGAGACATTAATACAGATATCCAACATGTTTGTGGATTTGGAGAGTAGACTTATGATTTATTAAGTAGAGA